GTTCTGATATTGAAAATTTTTTTAAAAAGTAAGATAATGAATTCTCTGTAGGTGATTAATTATCCCAAAAATGACACTGAATGCCAGTATCCGGGAAGTTGCTCTATGTGACATATGCTAGGTCTGTAGAGCAGACAGAATGTGCCCTTTTTTTTCAGGGCCTCAAAGACTAAACAAATATTGCTTTAAAAAGAAGAGACCATAGCATGTTTCCTAGTCGTATGTCATTGATGTTTGTAGAATTTTATAGCTAAATTTAGAGCAAAAGGAAGAATTTTTAGAGATCTTCTTTTCCAAGTCCCTCATTCTATAGATAAGGCAATTGAAGACCAAAGGAGTTAAGTCACTTAGATTTTCACTTCCTGAAACTAGGAAGTAGACATCCTGACTACCTCAAGCCGTGCTAATTCCATTGCCTTCCAGAGAGGCCAAAAATTCTCACTCTGTGACTCATGGAACATTTTCCTTAACTTTTTTTTTAAATTATTTTTATTGATTCTTAGAGAGGGAGGGAGGGGAAGAGAGAGACATCTGTGTGAGAGCATAACACTCTCCAGGTCCTTTATACTATTGCTAAGGTAAGACTTCTTATTTTGCAGCCAAGTAGTAATCTATTGTGTAAATGTACCACAGCTTTTTTTTATCTACTCATCTACTAATGGGTACTTGGGCTGCTTCCAAACTCTGGCTATTGTAAATAACATTGCAATGAACATCGGGGTGCAAAAATTCATATTTAATTTAGATTGTAGCAAAGACGTTCTCTTTAATATCTCCTAATTCTAAAATGATTTTTAGAAGTTATTTTTGTCTATTTTGTTAGGTTATGGAAAAGCAGGACTAGCAAATGTAATAAGTGACTATCTTTGGCTGTTTGTTTATTTTAAATTAACTTTTTGGATTACCTATTGGGGAAATAGTGCTTTCCTAGGCATGTAAACTTTTATTTATATATACATGCAGAGAGAGTTTATTACTTGTGAAAATGTAACCAGAGCTTAGACATTCAATACTTATTCATTGAGTGAAGAGACAGTATTGTGTGCTCTGTTAAATAACTAAAGTTAAAGAGTAAAAGATTGTTGGTGATTCTATATAACCTCTATTTCCTTACATAACTGATATTTCTCCAAGTTTTACACTAAAAATTCTTCTACTTTTAATATGCCATAATTCTTACTGGGTGCTTTCTTTCATGATCACTTTCCCAAACTTCCCAACAGTACACATACTGTCTCATTTTATGTTTCCAAACTTGATATTTTGGAGTTTAACTATTCAAGCTTTTATTGAAGTTCAAGTCATCAAGCTTTTATTATATACCTACTATGTGTATTTCGTTGCACCCAGAAGAAAAGATAAGAAAACCTAGTGCTGCCCTAACCAGTTTGTCTCAGTGGATAGAGTGTCGGCCTGCGGACTGAAAGGTACCAGGTTCGATTCCGGTCAAAGGCATGTACCTTGGTTGCAGGCACCTCCCCAGTGGGAGGTGTGCAGGAGGCAGCTGATCTATGTTTCTCTCTCATCGATGTTTCTAACTCTCTCTCCTTCTCCCTTCCTTTCTGTGGAAAATCAATAAAATATATTTAAAAAAAAAAAAAAGAAAACCTAGTGCTTATATAGTTTATGATCTAGTAGAATATACATAAACCAATATAGTAGTATAGTAGTAGTTTGATACATATGCAAACAACAGGAGCCCATCATTTAGGAAGCTTTTTCTAAACTGTTCCACATCCCAAGGTTTTTTTTATTTTTGTTTTCGTTTTAATCCTCACTCAAGGTTATTTTCCCACTGATTTTTAGAGAGAGTGGAAGAGAGATGGAAAGACAGAGAGAAATATAGATGTGAGAGAAACACATCAATTTGGTTGCTTCCTGCACACCCCTGACCAGGGCACAGGCCTGGGAGGAGCCTGCAACTGAGGTACGTGCCTTTGACCAGAATCGAACCCAGGACCCTTCAGTCCACAGGCCAATGATCTATCCATTGAGCCAAACTGGCTAGGGCCCAAATCCCAAGTTTTTGATACACTTCTCATTGAGTGTAGGGACAGCATATTAAAATTTCCTATGGAAGATGCATAATTTTAGGAGTTAACAAGTAATTCTAATATGTTCTGCCTCCCACTATTAACCAAGATCTACTGATGAACAAGGAATAAATAATACAAGGAAGCAAATTATTGGACTGGTTCCACAGAGAAGGATTTTGAAGGAATCTGCTATCTCATATTTTTGTGGGGGTTTTATTCCATCTCATTTCAAAATATATTATACTAGAGGCCCAGTGCATGGATTTGTGCACCTGTGGGGTCCCTCGGCCTGGCCTGCAGGGATTAGGCTGAAACCGGCTCTCCAACATCCCCCGAGGGGTCCCAGATTGCGAGAAGGCACAGACCAGGCGGAGGGACCCCACTTGTGCATGATCTGGGCCAGGGAGGAACCATAGGAGGGCTCCAGGGCATGTCTGGCCCATCTCACCCAGTCCCCATCGGCCAGATCCCAGTAGCAAGCTAACCTACCGGTAAGGGCATCTACCCCCTCATGGTCAGTGAGCTTCCCAGCAACTGGTCAAATGGTCAAATGGTCTGAGGGACACTTAGCATATTAGTCTTATAGATAGATAGATAGATAGATAGATAGATAGATAGATAGATAGATAAGGACTTAACAAGTGCCAGACATTATATTAAGTGCTGTGGATAAAATAATGAGCAACATTCCTGCCTTTGTGGAGATTATATCGCAGGGGAGAAAAGAAAACATTATAGATAATTATTTTGATCAATGCTATGCAAGAGAATACAGTAAATGATGCGGTTATATTCTGAGGGATATTGGTTATGATATCCAAATGTCCTTATGATGGGAAAATGCAGGGAGTGCAGTCCTTATTATGAGAAAATGCAGAGTCCCAAGTGTGGCCCCAAACTAGCATTCGTCAAAATATTTTTCATATGATCCAGCAATTCCACTTCTAGGTATTTATCTAGGAAAAAAAAGAATTCAAAAAGTATTTGCACTCCCATGTTTGTTGCAGCATTATTTATAATAGCCAAGACTATGGAAACAACATAAGTGTCCATAGATGGATGAAAAAATAAAGAAAATACGATATGTACAAAATGGAACATTATTCAGCTATATAAAAGAAGGAAGTCTTGCTATTTGTGACAGTATGGATGGACCTTGAGGGCATTATGCTAAGAGAAATAAGTCAGACAGAGGAAGACAAATACCATATGATCTCACTTATATGTGGAACAAACACACACACACACACACACACACACACACACACACAAACAACACCCTAACTCATAGCTACAAAGAAGAGATAGGTAGTTACCAGAGGCAGGGGGTGGCAAGGCAGCGAAATGGGTGAAGGGGGCCAAAAGGTACAAACTTCCAGTTGTAAAATAAATAAGATCTGGGGATGGAATATACAGCATGGTGACTGTAGTTAATAATACTGTATTGTATACTAGAAAGCTGCTAAGACAGATTTTAAAGGGTTCTCATCACAAGAAAAAAAATGTGTGGAACTATGCATGGTGCTGGATATTAACTAGACTTATTGTGATCATTTCACAATATATAAAAACACTGAATCTTTATGCTGTACAACTGAAACTACTATATTGTTATATGTCAATTATAATCTCAATTTTTAAAAAGAATTTTAAAGCTTTAAATAAAACAGCATGTGTAAGCCCCTATAATGAGGTGTGATAACTGGTTTAAAAGTTAATTTATTAATAATGATATTTTGCAGATAGTATTGGTGAGGAGGAAGAAAAATATATTTGAGTTGAAAGAGAGATTTTTCCCCCAACCTAAGACTTATCAACCTCTTTTAACTGTTCCTCTTTGCCTTTCTTTCTTCAGTTTTTTTCTTTTTTCACTCTTCTCACCCCACAAGAAGCCAACTGTTAAGGAAATTGTCTTTTTGACAAGCATCATTAAATGGTAATTCTGGAGAGTCAGGGGGATAATTATGGCTTCTCTCCACTGAATATAAAAGTACTCTCTTGCCTAATAACAAGAAAGAAAGCACCATCCATTTTTATTTGTAACAAGGACAAAGCAGATAGTACAGACTCCATGTGAACAAAACCTGTGTCTGTACGACTTTGAATTCTGCACAATTCCTTCCTTTCATTTGTGAAACATGTTGACCTTTTAGCACCTTACTTATGTAAAGTGCTGGGGATATAGAGATGAAAAAGACATTGCCCCTGGCCTTCAGGATCTTGTTCCAGAGTGGGAACAATATGTAAAATAAATAATTAAAGTACAGTGTGGAATTGCTATCATTGAAGTATGTACTAAGAGCTGTTGGCGTACAGGGGAAGGAAAAATAAACTCTGCTTGAAGAAATCAGAGGAAACCTCACAAAGAAAGTGACATTTGAACTGAGTCTTGAAAGGATGAGTAAGAGCTGGCTCTCAATTATTTGTCAGCAAATATACTTTCCTTTCTTTGCTGAACCCTTAGATTCTTTCACCTTCCCGGCAAGGTCATGCATTACTTTTTATTTTATTTTTTATTTTATTTTTTTTGTAATATATTTTATTGATTTTTTACAGAGAGGAAGGGAGAGAGATAGAGAGTTAGAAACATCGATGAGAAAGAAACATCAATCAGCTGCCTCCTGCACATCTCCCACTGGGGATGTGCCTGCAACCCAGGTACATGCCCTTGACCAGAATCGAACCTGGGACCCTCCAGTCCGTAGGTCAACGCTCTATCCACTGAGCCAAACCGGTTTCGGCCATGCATTACTTTTTAAATGAACAATTTAATTTTTACTGATAACCTGTGCTATTGCTGTGAAATAAAATCATGAGCAAAGTTGTAGATAGAAACCAAGACTTGAGATTGCTGGAGGGGAGGAGGGGCTTTCACTCTGTGGGCACTACGGCTGTGGGAGGACAGTGTGCATGGAGAGCGGCAGTATTTCAATGATTCGTTCTGTCACTTCTCTTCCCCTATAGCCATCAGGTTTGGGCGGATGCCACAGGCCGAGAAGGAGAAGCTGTTGGCGGAGATCTCCAGTGATATCGACCAGCTGAACCCAGAGTCTGCTGACCTCCGGGCCCTGGCAAAACATTTGTATGACTCATACATAAAGTCCTTCCCGCTGACCAAAGCAAAGGCGAGGGCCATCTTGACAGGAAAGACAACAGATAAATCAGTTAGTTCTCTTCTACCCTCTTGATTTGGGGTGGCTGGGTTTATTGTTGTTGTTGTTGTTTCCTTTGAGGAAATGATTAACCATGTTACACACATACATGCAGTACTGTTCATCTGTTGGCTGTTACATATTGTAGGCTGAGTATTAAGCACAGGAAAGGAAATGTCTTCAGATAGGGTAAGTAAACATTATTTTGAAAAGGGGAAAAGTCCTTCAAATTCTCCTACTAAATTCTTTGAGAAAGTATAAAAATATGCGAGTCAGCTTAACTTTAATGTATGAACTCAAGCCCCAATTCACCCCACCACCCTCTTTCAGGATCCAACTACATTCACACAGGCCTGCTTTCCGGACCTAGCTTTTGAAAAGGTATTCAGTCTCATTATTTTACCTTTTAGGAGGCCCATTAGAGTTACCTCTTATGAAGTTCCACATTGGGCAGAAAAAGACATTCCAGATATTATATTACCTTTCTTTCCTTGTAGCACTCTATTAATAATTCCTGGATAACTGGAAGCTTTTTGCTTTTATTATGTGTATGAATTGTATCTCCTGTGAGGCTCTGAGCTGCCTGGGCTATGCCAGTGGAGAATCTAGTGAATTCTCAAACATCTGCAAGCTCATTGATTACCACTGTTTAGAAAACCCAGAATGGATTAGAATTGTTATTGAGTCAATTTTTCCAAAAAGCAGAACTCTTCCCTGATAGGAAGCTGAGAAAGCACAACATGGAATCATATTAAAACAAAATATAACTATAACTGGCCCTAGCCGCTTTGGCTCAGCAGATAGAGAGTCGGCCTGTGGACTGATGGGTCCCGGGTTCAATTCCTGTCAAGGGCACATACCTCGGTTGCAGGCTTGATCCCCCAGCTCTGGTCAGGGCACATGCAGGAGGCAACCAATTGATGTGTCTCTCTCACATCAATGTTTCTGTCTGTCTCTCCCCCTCCCTTCCACTTTCTCTAAAAACCAATAGTAAAATACCCTTGGGTGAGGACTAACCAAAAAAAAAAATGTGTGTGTGTGTATATATATATATGTGTGTGTGTGTGTGTGTGTGTGTGTGTGTGTGTGTGTGTGTGTATATATATATATATATATATATATATATATATATATATATCACTATACCTGAATTCTAGTCCCAATTCTGCCATCAGCATACAGATCTGTACCTCAGTTTACACAGGCAGGTCTAACTTTGATTGTAATGTCTTCAGCATGTTCTTAAAGTAGTAAGCCACAGAACACATTTAGAAGATACCATCCCAGCCCTTGATAGCCCTTGATAGCCCTTTTATGCTATTGTTTATTTTCAAATAAACATCTCCAAGAGAGGTATGCAATTATTTGACATATATGGGTAACTTTTTCCCTACACAGTTATATTTTTGGGAAAATTTGATTACCCTTTAATGTATTTTTGTAATGACCTCAAGGTGTTTTTCTTTTCCTTTTAACTAAACCATAAGAGAGAATTAGCTAATAGAAAAAGAAAACTCCTATGGGATATTGCTATATAAAGAGCCAAATCTGAGAGGATCAATGAGCTTTCTGACTGCAAGAACGGTCATTGATACCTTAGCAGTATTATGTCTGTTTCCAGCCCTTTATAGTTTAAAAAAGTCTTTTTTTAAGATTCTTTATTGATTGTGTGTGTGTATGTGTGTGTGTGTGTGTGTGTGTGTGTGTGTGTGTGTGTGAGAGAGAGAGAGAGAGAGAGAGAGAGAGAGAGAGAGAGAGAGAGAGAGAGAAACATCGATGTGAGAATGATACATCAATCCACTGCCTCCTGCGGGGGATCAAGCCTGCAACATGAGCATGTACCTGGATCAGAAATTGAACCAGCAACCTTCCTGTGCATGGGAAGATGCCCAACCAACTGAGCTATACCCGTCAGGGCTCAAAAAAACTTACACATTCATATGTTCAAGACACATGACCATCTTATGGCTCCTATTATTACCCTCTTTTAAAAATGGGGAAATTGATGGTTAAACATTTTGCCCTGAGATTACACAGCATGTGGAAGAACCAGTACTATAATGCAGGCCTTCTGACTATTACTTCAGTACATTCTGAGCATGACATCCCCTCATGGAAGCTGGTCTTTCCTATTGGCTAGCAATGAGCGGCTGACACTAGGAAAGTTTTACCTTGAGAAAACATTCTGAGCTATGACTTGTTTTTATCAATTTTTAGAACAACAAGAATTTTCCACTCTGTTCTGTTATCCTAGTATATTCACAGTCAGGAAATTTTCCTTGTGCTGTATTGTTCTTCTGAATTATAGTGATTAGGACTGTCTTCTGCAGACTTTACAGACTATAAGTCATAGTAAAGCTAAGTTTATGTATTCATTAAATGAAAAAATTGGGGCCTAACAAGTCAAAAGCAAATGAAGACCTCTACAAAGCTGATTTGTCTATGGAAAATAAATTGTTCATTTAAAGAGAGAGAAATAAAAGGAAAGTTAGATTGATGTGGCTAAATAGAGGGTTAACAATTTAAGGCAGATTACAACAGTTTGATGAGAGCATAGGATAGTGACATGGAGGCTGGGAGCCCCAGAACTGGGAGAGGAGTGATAACAGGGAAAGAGCCCTGAAACATTTACTCCATTTTGCCTCAATCCATTTAGTTTCCAGGAACTGCTTTCTCACCTTTTCTTTATCTCTCTGTCCAGGCTTGCAATCCATGCGAGAAAGCCTGGACGTACCGGAAGCCAGGAGGAAGGCAGTTTAAGAAAGTTTCCCCCAGTAGTCAAGAATTCAGTTACTCTAACAGTGGCCAACATACTCTTCTCTGTGTTACTGAGGGGCACAGAGCCCAGTCCACTGTAACTCACTTTAAAACCTCGTGCCAATTGACTCTTTGGCTCCAAATCTTTGAGTTAAAAAATAAGATAACTTCCAGCTCTTTATGAGATAAGTAGGTATTAAGCTATTTTAAGGGAAAGAGCTTCAAAATGCTTGATTATAGGCTTTTCAAGTTCAGAGGTCAAATGTTTGTCATTTTTCCCCCTATAGTAACTGTGACTGTGCTTTGCCCATAACATTTATTCAGGATGTATTTGCTTAATTGAATTAAAAACTATTGCCTATGCCCTTTGTAATTCTGGACTTTCAACAGAGGGCCTCTAACTAGCCTAATATTTGCTCACCAAACTGGACATCATTAAATGATCTGGATAGAGGCAGAATTGCCTCTTAGGGTCTGGAGAGACTGGGCCAAATTAAAATAATCCATTCCCTGATTACACAAAACTGAAATAGAATTGTTTGGCTCTCTCTTTTCTCCTTATCTTGCAAAATCAAATTAAACACTGGTGGAAAGAAATAGTTCAGAGAGGAATATGGGAGAGGGAAAAAAATCCAAAATGTGATTTCCAATGTGACTAGAGATTTGTTTTTTATCTTACATGGTCATGTTATTCATTTGATAGCATCTTTCTCAGGGGTGTTATGTTATCTCTTGGCCAAGACTTATGAAAGTTAAGATTTGAATTGATTGGAAACGTTTTGCAGAAGTATGGACTCTTGAGAGAGTGGAGGTTGTGAAAAAGTGTCTATGGCGGGTGCAGTTTGGGTCTCATTATACACCCTGCTTGAACTGATGTCACTAGTGTTGGTTAGGCCAAGTCTGGGATGGGCTGCTCAGTATAGTGGATGACTAGTTACCAAGAACCTTTGGAAAAGGAAATGGCTTTATTGAAGAGGCCATTCTTTAAATTTATCTTACTGCTCAATTTAACCTTTGCTTACGCTGTCATTTATGGAAGGCCTGCTAATCTTTCCTCTCAGGCCCAGCACCAGCATTTGCCTGCAGGCTTCTCCCTTGCCAACTTAACTTCCTTCTGCTATATCTTATTCCCTGCTGCTATTTGCACCTTTCAAAACAGATAAATGGACAGATAAATTCAATGTTCTTGCTCCCCTCTTATCTTTTTAACTTTGACACCATATCTTTGGGATATTTTGTACCTTTCATTTCATGCCTAAAAAAATAATGCCTGGGAATTTTAGGCTCAGTACTAGGAAGAGATGGAATATGGAATCACTAAACATGGATCACAGGAGAATTTTAGGAGCAATGAGCCTTTGAGCCCCCCTCAGAGAGGAATGGCACTGACTCTCCCACAGGCTGTTTTCTCTTCAGTGGCTTGTTCCAGCCCAGGCCCTTCTTTAAGAGAGCCTCCTGAACCCTGTAACTATGAATATGCTAGAACTGGGGTGCTTTGTTTCCTGAAGGCACTTTGAGAACTGAATGGACTTTGGAAGTTCCCAGTGTTTGACCATTACCCTGATGTGATGATCACACTGGGTGCATCATTGTCACATGATCTCATGTTTGTTGATGCAAATAAACAGAGAGTGGTTTTCAAGAACTATTTTCAATGCCATGGTTTGTCATAAAACAATAAATATAAAAACCTTTGGTGTGCCTGCCAACTTTTCACTCCATATCTGAGGATGGTGAGGCCCTGGCTTCACTCTATCTGCAAGGAAGGATAAAACTTGTTATTTGTACTGTATTGGACTTTGCATCCCAAGTCATCACATTGCTTATGATAGCTACATGTGAAGTCATTGTTTTTGTAATTACAAGAGCAAAACAGTACCATTGTGAAAAGGGTTTATCTAAATAGTATATGTAATATGAAACTACTAATGAATAAAACCAATATAGAAATGTAAACTTTTGTGAAAATAGTCTGTACCCTTTAAATTTTCTCATTCTAAAATTTACAATGTCCATCACATCTAATAACTCAAACTATTGGAAAGATATCTATACTTTTAAATCCTACACTTACAGCTGAACAAAGTGTGGTCTCTTTCCCCTTTATCTGTGGAAAAGCTTGAGTGAGCCAGAACTTGGTCTCCTGAGGAGGAAGATAACAGACAAATCCTCAGAGAAAAGAGACCATGGAAGCCCAGTATAAATAAAGAGCAGAATAGTCATGCTGTTTCCTTTCAATGGCTACTAAAGAACTG